ACTTAAAAATATATTCGCGCAAACACCAATTGTAATGTGAATTTCTTACATGTGTACCGCATACAATTCTACCAATTTTGTACACAGGATTACAGTACTTGCCTAGCGTCGGGATATTCTACTTAAACTGGCGTTTGTTCAGAATTACGTGCTCTGGCACTAGTTCATCATGAGTGATTCTTTGGGCTCTTGCTGTTAATTCTCTTGCTTTTTCTTTTATCTGTTAAAAAAATACTAGAAACGGACACAATTTAGCTTGTGAACATGCATCTTAGCAAAAGAATATTTGGGTATTTGGGCTACACTGCGGTTAGGAGAATGAAATTTGATTAAAAGTATGGAATGCATATATAACCTAGAAAAGACGTGTTAGGACTGAGACTATTCTTAGCTAAGTTAGGGGGCAGCTAGCAGTGCTTTACTCTACAACATCGATCATGGACAGCGGAGTATGGGTTTTCTATTACGTGCAAGGTGAGGAAGGGGAAGAACGAGCTCATCCTAACGCTTTTCGCTTAACGGGTGTCGCCCCAAACACCGACGTGACGCTTGCTGATGTACTACGCTGTTTTCCTCTTCGCAATCCGACCGCTTTTCACTTTCGCTTTCGACTGAACAATAGTAAAGGCAACATGTTTTACTGGCTAGACGTCACTCATAGTCAACAAAAGGTCCCATTAGCAAGCGGTCGTGTCATTTGCAAGCTCCTGCGCTTAGAGCGACCTCAGAAACACGGTCTTGTCTTTCGACGCCGCCCAGTGCTTAAGTGGTCATCAAAGCGCCAGGGAAGCTCTAGTGTCTTAGGTGATAGTGCTAGTAGTGTGCAATCATCTAAGGCTGTGCAGCCATTGAGTGAAAGCAATGAGTTCTACCAGCCGTCCTCGCCAGCGTTTGACCATGGACGACCAGCTAAATACTCGGATCGGACTCTTAATGGAGCAGAAACTCAACATAGTAACTCATCCAGTCGGTCTTCGTCTGTATCTGGAGAAAAAAAGGTTTCTAGAACAGGACTGGGGTCTTCATCGACGGCACCGGGTAATTTAGAAGATTTTTTGTCAGGCGGTCAGCAATCGCCCCGCGGCTCTACAGCTGCCCCAATGCCTTCGCCGCAGAAAAAGGATGTAAATCTCATGAGCGACAGTGGCTGGAACGACACACCGGTGACTGCTGCATCGGACTTTTTGAGCTCGATGGACCCGTTGGCCGCTCGTACAAAGCAACCTGCTCAATCTTCACCGTCAAAGAGTGTGCAGGTAGATCCACCCAAGTTTGATGATGACAATGGACAAACTGTTGGACCAGTGACAATGGCAGAGATGGAGGCACATTCGAAGTCAACGGCCGATGGTTCGAATGTGTATAACCCGAACTTAGTAGACAAGTCAACAAAGAGCGACAAAGTTCGTCGTGCAATGGAAGAGCGGGAACGACAAGTTCAGCGAGATGTGGAGCGGGCACGGGATGATTTGCGTAAACGAGAAGAAGCGGTGCGCAACATGGCTATCATGAAAGATAATGCTAATACGGTACTAGGTCCAAGGTTAAAAGCTTGGGGAGAGGATAATGGTCGCGTTAAGAACATTCGTACGTTGCTGTCCACTATGCATCAAGTTATGTGGGAAGACTGCAAGTGGACTGAAGTAAACATGGGCAAGCTCATTCAACCAAACGACGTTAAGAAACACTATCGAAAAGCCATGATCGTCGTGCATCCAGATAAAGCAGGTGGACGCAACGCCGACCAATTGTTGATAGCGGAGCGCGTGTTCGCAGCTCTTAATACTGCTTGGGAAGACTTTCAGAAGACGAATCCATGCTAGCATTCCACATCCATTGAACTGGTGGTAGCAGCGCTGCAGCCAAATACAGAACCAACATAAACTACACTTCATGATAATTAAATGCACACGATGCATGCTCCATTAGTTTTGCACATGTAGTGAGTAAGGCGACATTTCGTCTGCAAAGTAAGCTATCAAACCAAAGGATTATCCGAATCTCTCGTCTATAGACTACATTTTCTTGATCACTACGTGGTTTCGCCAGTACTCCACTGCCTTCATGTACTCGTCTCGGTCAATGGGCACGCCAGATCCACCTTGTTCCTTGCCAATAGCATTTCGCATCATGGTAATCGGTTTCATAGGCAATTCATGGTCCACATCTTGTGCTTTGATCGCCACAATACCCCATGGGACGTCGCGATGAGATGGGTCTGCTTGTAGATCGATGGCCTCATTCTCTTTTATAATCTGTTCACGGCTGTAAAGAATAATGTCCAAGAACTCAGCTACTCTAGGGGTCACACTATGGCTCGGGAACCAACGGGTGAGTCTAAAAAGTGAAGATAATTTCGCTCAAATCAGTACGTGCTCTGATTGAACTAGTTTCAGTAATCACGTACACTGGTAATTCGTATTCAGTACGAGCCTCGTAATCCGACATGACATTGTGAGCATTGGCCTGCGTAATGGGTACCATAGTATGACGAGCGCCTGTAAAGTTCTTAACGAACAAGTGCTTGCAAAATGGCGCATAGCTGTACCAACAAAAAGTCATATCATAACTTGCTTTCTGTCATTACATCGCATATCAACGTACCCATCAACCAGCTTCTTGCCATTTGCCTCGTAAATTTCATTGATCTTCTTCACAAACTCATCCTTGTCGTAGTCGAGGCACGTACCTGCATACGTTTTGTCCTCAAACTGGCGTTTAGCAAAGCCGTCTGCGATGGCCATTGCGTTAGGCTCATCTATCGTTTATACGTTTAAATACTAAAAGATGAGTATTCAAGCGCACCGAGCACGATGTCACCACGCTTGTGTGATGATGATGCCTCTACGGTCTCGGCCACCGCCTTTTCTGTCTTTGTCGTGGCGGCACCAAGCATATTAAGAATTCCGCGAGTCTGGAAGTGGCGTGTTTTTACCGTCGTTCGCAATTGCGTGAGCAGCATGTTAGCGACTTCTGAATGGCTGGATGGAGAAGAAGGGAGTAAGCAGACCTGGCAGCGATGAGGATCTCCGACGAATGAAATGTCAGTGCGTGTTTTTTTACTTGGGATAATGTACTTTTAACCAATCTCGACAAGAAGATTAAATTGTCGTGTCTTAACAATTAGACAATATGTGATACTGAATCTTGGCACAAATAAAAATATTAGCCCCACTGCTAAGTTTTTGATACAAATGATTAAAAAATACACATTCGTATTTGCAAAATTGCTTGTGAAACACCAAATTTGTTGTCCTATCGCACGTGATCAATCCAACAACAAGCTATATTGGCTAGCCCGAGTACACGTATAAATGCCGTAAAACATTTGCGTTTCACTTAAGGTCGGCTGATTACATCGTGGTGCCGTACACATTCGAAGCAGAAAGCACGAGTTAGGACTGCGATAAAATGATATGCATTACCCGAGTTCATGACAAAAAGATTCTACTGGACGAAAGTCTTCATAAGGTAAGAAAAATTTTAGCATTTTTGACAATAGCTGCAAAGCAATATAAGCAAGTTGTTGAGTGTGAGGCGGTCGACCCGGTGGCGTGGGTCGAGTGGACAATGCTTCTGGGCCTAACGTTGTGTGGCGTGGGTTCGAGCCCCTCAGCGGACAGAATCGTAATCGTACCAGACATGCAAGAAACATCGGCTGCACGCATAATATTACCGACAACAGCCAATAAGGACTTCGGAATGGCGACTCGTACAAGAAAACCAAGGATTTAAAATCAAGAAAAAAACCTTTAGCGGAATGAAGCAGTGTAATATCTTATCAGGGCCGAGTAGGTATAGCCGTGTAATAAGATAATACATAGCAACTTTCAACTGAGTGTGAGGCGGAAGCATCGACGACATAATTTATAAAGTGTAGATTATTTCAGGCGTAACTTGTTCACTTGATGTCAAAACAAAAACGTGAGCTACAGAGTCTTGGCCAGTCTGTTGCCTTACGTCTAGGTCTCACAATTTAGAGCGCTACCGTACATAAGCACATGTTGTAGCGATGTGTTGGCAAAGCACCTGTCTTGTCGTATCCAGACAGTCTGTGACGTATTACTGCACCGCATCGTATCATTTGAGTCTTCATACCCTTCTTCAAGTTTATGTATGCTGTACTGATTTACATATATCGAGCACGACAATACCCCTGGATTGAAAAAGCAGTGCGCGCTGTGATGTCAGTGGGTCCTTTGTTAATTAGCTTGCGATCTGCAGCGTAGACGAGACATGAAACAAGTGTAATGGCTCTAGTTTTTTACAACATGATATTGCTTAATATGTGTACGGAGATCATGTGCTTGGCTCACGGCGTGTAGTTATGGTTTTGCTATGCTGATAGCACACTTTGTTGAGATTGGTTAGTTCCATATTGCATTGAAATTCCACAGTCACAGACATCAAAGACATCAACATGTTAAAGCTACCGCATGCAGCATCTGGCGATTTTTCTGATTTCTTGCTTAATCAACTATTGCTATCTCAGTAACACCCTTAGTGAACCGAACTTCATACGAGGTACATGACAAACTGGACCAAGTAGTTTTTCTGGCGTAGCTTCATTATCTTTCTCGACGCGGACAAACTATTAAATAAAATTTCAGCATACATGACGACAGAATTGGTGCCTGTATGATTGCTTCACGAATAGACAAGTGCCTGCTGTCCATCGAGCAGATATAGCTTCGCAAAACAAATATGTTGTCGCTTAATTTCATAAAGACTCCAATGAAACATATACATCATATCTCAAGGACACTCATCTCAAACGGCTTAGTCTATCGTCAAAGATTTTGCTGATAAATACCGCCTAGATATTGTCCTGCTTGACAGAGAACACGAGACAGCTGTACACATCAGGAGCGTTCGAATTGTTTTCATATTTGTTACGGTAAACACGCATCAGAACACAAGCGTTTGTAACCCTAGCGTTTATTCGAGATAATCAGAGAAGAACTAGATCAATCCAGAGCAAAAGCAGGTAAGGCTAAAGTCGTTTGAGGGCGGTAATACTTCGAGCAGTTACAGATTTTTTCATCGTATAAACCTGAATACCTTGTTCAAATTTCGTCAGAAACAAGCCAATCATGGCGCTATGTAGAGCGGAAGCTCGAATTTTGCATCTTATTACATAGTTTCGGCGAAGTGCAACGTAAATAGAGTCTTCGTCATTGAGATATTACATGCGATCCTGAAATCAGTTAACCGTAATCGGCTTCACACTGGTCGCAGGATACACTACATGAGCTCAAGACAGCTCGATTTGTGGATTGACGATAGCTTAAGAAAACCGTCTAGACGCGCTATGTTGGCTGCGCATAAATTGTTACCAACACATCTTCGAATGAAGTACGTCAAGCTCGGTGGATTCGTTGATGACATGTCAAAGTTCTTACACCGAGCCTTGATATTTAAAGAACGAGAATAAGCATATTTTTTAGCGTACGAGCTTGCTCCGCAGGCAGTAGAAGGTCCGTGAAGGTAGTGAACGCCTGAAGCGAAATGATCATCCCGTCAGTTGTCAGCATCAAATCGAAGCCCTTACCTTGAAGAATATCATAGTAATCAGAGACACCGGAAAAATAGAACAAGGCTTGATAAGTCGATGAACTAACCGACGTCTTTAATAGTAGTCCCGTCTCGTGTAAGTTGAACGCATTCTCAGTTCGGTGTACCTTCTGGTTGGCATCAAGCTGCATGCGCATTTTAGTAGCTCACGTTCGAACAGAACCGCGACTCTTGCGTATAACCTACACAGATAGCTCATCTAGGTTAAATGCAACTCGAGTCCAGACTTTGGTCACGCGTTACAGCTTGATGTCCGAAAAGCCGTCTTGTACACTCACGCTGGAATCTGAAATTTCCGATGGTCGGCGATGATGAGGCCGTGGCGATGGCGGCTTTGCTGTATAAATTTGCGGAGTCTAAGTTAAACAAATCAAGGCTTTTGTTTTAAGTCAACGTATACTTCACAAAGTGGATCACAGTTAGATTCAAAGAGCACGGACGAACAGCTGACACTGTTAAAGCATACAGGGCGCTCCTCCCAAAAATGCACTTGGCCTTAGTTGCGCGTAGGAAGAAATTGAACTGATCTGGTCCTTTCTGATACATCCCATTCAAAAAAAGCATATTTGAAGCGATCACATGACGACAAGTCAAATCTAGAAAATTTTATCTGTCGTACTCGGATCACTTTCAAATCGTGACGGGCACACCACAAACTGCAAGTTGTAGTTACCTCATCAGCGCTTCGTCGGACAAAGATACAAATGATTCGCCTTGGTTATGTACGCGTGAATGTTGCAAAGTTGAAGGTAGCCTAGGCACTGTCTCCAAACTACAGGTTATCTAACAAATGCAAAAGAGGTGATGATTGCGTTCTACCTGTACTTTGTGGTACGTATCGGTGCCGATTTTGCAGCCACAGGTAGGAGCCTCAGTAAGTGCAGCAAACCCACGGGCTTAATTTGTTAATTTTACTCAGACATTGTCCCAAATTGTGAGTCGTTAGGCACCCAAGTGACCCAGGTTCCCTTGCGGCTAGTTGACAAGTTTTGTCTACCGTGGCTGGCATTGCTGCACCTAGGGCTGTACTGAATACGATTGCTTTACCAAGTTTGTCGGTCGGCGCGACGACAGTAGCGGTTAAAAAGTCTCCCAATCTAAAGAAAATGATCAGACAGTTGATGTCGAAGTCGACTTTGATGCCGCTAGACATAACGATGGCGGTAGGAGTAAACATATTACTCGCAACTGCAAGGTAAAATACACGAATGCATGATCAATAATACATGCGAAGAGTAAGCAACGCAGTATCGGGCTGCCTTGGCTAATGAGAGAGAACTAGTCTGCCGACGCCTGAATGAATGACCACCTCAGTCAAGATAACGCAAAAGGCTGACTGTAGAAAATGCAACCGCATACTATGAGGGCTTTCAACACGCAAAGAGGAAGGTTACGCATATTTTACGCAATGCGAAACACGCGACATTTTCAGTCCTCAGCCACTAAAGCACTCAAAACTCCTTATAAGGTATTTCGTATGTTTCCCACCAAACAAGTAAAAAAATTAGCAAATGAATAAGAAAGTCTGTAGAAAGGCGCAAAAGTCAACTGGAAAGTAGGCGGGGCGGCGACACGAGGAGCGAGGCTTAAGATAGTGGCAGCAGTAATCGCGCTGTGTAAGCTGTCGTGAAGCGAGCTCGAAAGGTGTCTTTGTAAATAGGTGCAACGAACAAGTTCGAGGCGGTCAAAGCGAAAGACGGAAGCGTATTACGATGCGCAAACTGAGCTTTTACGTAGTCAGGGAAGGTGTCTTTTCTTGCACTTTTGCGAGGGAGAAGGCAGATACGGAAGAAAAGTTTTTTTAGGTGTACTGATCTGTGGGATTAGAAAGCTCTCGCAGAGTTACTTTCTCGCGCCCCTCAGTTTTGCTTTATATGTGAGCGGAAGAATTGCATGCATAGGTCTGAAGGCCTTCGCACCAGTGCCGCAAGCAACTTCGAGCGGTCTGATCCATAATCGTGATGTGATGATCTGTATTATAATCTGCGTTACTCCTTTGCTTGCATTGGAGCAAGCTGGATAGCTTGGACCAACTACAGTTCAGTAATGATAAGAAAAGCACTGTCGCGAGCTCCACCAGGGTTGTAACATCTTCCGTGTATGAATAAGCAAACGGAGTCCGCATCTCAACAAGCGGGGAGATTGAGCGCAATAAGCGTTGCCAATAAGCTTTACGAGCGTATGTCTTCACCAGCGGATACTAGTCATTAATCGCCGGTATTATCGATTTTGGCGGGCAGATAGCGCAAGTTGTGATTTCGTACGCCAGCCAAGTATCCAGTGAAGTATCCAACA